GACTGTCCCGGGGGCAGGGAGGGGGCTTAGGGGTAGGAGTAGATCTTTAGCCGTTCAGGGGGGAGGGAAACCTTCCAGGCAGAGAGAGGGGATGGGCAAGGGCAGAAGCACAGAGAGGGGCAAGGGGAAGCTTGCTCTGGGAACAGGCATGGCCACTGCCTCAGGGGGAGGCTGCAGATGGGCAGGGCCAGGCCTCAAGCCGCAGGCCTGGGCCAGTGAGGGGCCCCAGGAGGTGTTTGAGTGGGGGAGAGATTCTCTGAGCTGTGCCTTAGAAGGGACCCTCTCCCCGGCTGCTGTGGAGTCAGAGACTGGACAAAGTAAGCAGAGCTGGCACCATGGAGGCTGGCACCATAGCCTAGGGCCAGGGGACGAGCCAGCAGCTGTTTAGGAGGAAAGAGGGATGCCATGGAGTGAGGGGAGCAAGGCCGGCCCCCAGGTTTCTGGCTCCGGGGACCCTAGGACTCACACAGAACCCTGAGTTGGCTGGCCTTGGGGAGCCCTGGCCCACTGCCTCTCCGTCCCCTACCTACGGGCCAGCAACTCCGTGGCAGGAAGGTGTAGGCGGTGGGGCAACTGTAAAGGAGAAGTGGGTCTGGGTGTGAGAGTGGGTGTGTGGTGAGGGGGTGGGGAGCCCGGAGCTGGAGAGGAGTCAGGGCAGGGAAGGCCCTCCTATGGGGCAGAGGGGCGGCGGCGAGGCTGGAAGACTGCGCCCCAATCCCCGCCCCATCGCTATCGCTACGGATGCTGTTATTACCTGTTACCCTAGGGACTGCAGGCCCCTTACTTGCATCAGGCATCTCTTTTAACCCCAGTGGAGGGGGCTGGGTGTCGGGAGCCTGGAGGGGGAACCTATTCCTGGGTGAGGGTGGAGACAGGTCTGGGGTCATTTACTTGAGCCATCACTGCAGGGGCTGCCCCAGCCTCTGTCTCATCTCACCGTGGCTGCTCTGACTCTGGGGGAGAGTTGTGGCGCTGCTGGTGGTGGACCCTGGCGCAGGCCACCTTGAGGGAGAAGCGGAGATACTCAAAGGTTTGACACAAAGGTTTCCTGGGTGCCTCCCCTGTGCCTGAACAGCCAGGCGCCGAGGATGGAGCAGACAACAGGACACGTGTCGATGGAGCGCGCAGGCACCTGGCTCAGGACAAACCTTTTCACTTGCCCCTCCTAAACAGGGAAGCGGGAGGCCTCGTATCTCTGGACGACTTAGGAGTTGTTAAGAAGAGAAATTTCACCATCAGACCAACGTGGTAAAAAGTTATTCCTCAACGTATTTTTTTTTTTTTTCACATAGCTCTTAAGTCAATTTTTAAAATTCGTCTTCTAGGTCACTTTTTAACTATGAGATGTGAGCAAGAGAGAAGAGTTAAAGTTTCTAAAATCAACGTGGTTCAAGCGAAGTTCCCTTGTTCTTTCGATAGTTTTTACTTTAAATAATTTGGTATCATCACCTCAATGCATGTTGAAGCAGAAAACGAGGGACTTTGTTGCTGAAAAACCCTTCGAATTGAATCTATCAGTGTTCTCAAATTTTCATTCAATGAAGAGTTTTTTTGTTTTTTTTTTTTTTGCGATATGTGGGCCTCTCACTGTCGTGGCCTTTCCCATTGCCGGATGCGCAAGCTCAGCACCCATGGCTCACGGGCCCAGCCGCTCCGCGGCACGTGGGATCCTCCCGGACCGGGGCACGAACCCGTATCCCCTGCATCGGCAGGCGGACTCTCAACCACTGCGCCACCAGGGAGGCCCAATGAAGAGTTTTTTTAAAAAGACGATTAATTTGAGTCTGTCAGGGAAAAGGGAGTCTCCCTTGACCTGTATCCCTGAAATGCCCCCCAAAACACCCTCCCCATGGTTCTGACACAGGTGTTATCATCATGTAAGTTTTTCAGATGGGGAAATAGGGGCTCTGAGGGGCAAAGGGATGACCCAGCACGTTCGAGGTGGCCTGGATGGGGTCTGTGTCCAGCCGACTACGAAGTGTGGCCTGTGCCTTTCGTGCCTCAAGGACAGGACTGGGGAAGTGAGGGAACGCTGCCTCTTGGACAAGCTCAGTGTCATGGTGGGGGCATCCCCAGGGGCAGAGAGACCCAGCCCCCCAGATCTGGATGTGAAAGTGCTCTGAGACCTGGGATGCATGTATTCTGTACTTAAAAAATTAGTTTTATTTGTCATTTTGTGAGTAATATCTGAACACAGTCTCATGAAAAAACCCTCAAACAATACAGAAGTCTATGAGTAAGAAGTGGCATTTCCCTGCTGCCCCCAGAGGGAGTCTGTTTTCACTTTGGAGTCTTTCATCCCAGTCTTACTTTTATGCCTTTAAATTCTCGTGTACGTGCATAGAGAAAAACAGGTTTTGTGTTTCATAGAGGGGCCACGTGGTATGGATTGTTCGGTTGGCCTTTCCCATCCCTGGGCCCGTCCTGAGTGCTGTGCTGGCTCTCTTGCTCCATCTTTTTTTTTTTTTCTTGGATGGACCTGGGCCCTTGGCGGTGAGACCGCAGAGCCCTAACCACTGGACCATCAGGGAAGTCCCGCTCGCTCTGTCTTATTTTGTCACAGCGGCTGGAGCCCCCAGAGTAGTGCTTCCCTTTGCCTTTCTCATGTATTAGCTCTGACATACAGCACACTGCCAGAAAGTGCCCCTCACCGGGGAGTGGGAAGGATGTGATGTTGGGCCTCTGGACACTGGGAGAGGGTGGGAGAGGCAGGGAGATCAGTACAAAGTCCTGGTGAGGCCAGAGAGACCCCGGGGCCCCTCTCCCCCTGAACCCAAGTTATTCAAGGGCAGGTCATGCCTGTCCAGGAAGCAGTTAGAAAATCCTTGCCCAGGCTCTTCCAGGCCCTCTCTGCCTAGCCTCAAGCCCCAGTCTCCCTGCACACACTCACACACACACACACACACACACACACACACACACACACACACACACACACACACACGTGCAGTCCAGGGGTTCCTGGCCAGAGCAGCCCCGGCAGTTCTCTCAGCCTGGCCCTAGGCTGGGGGACGTGGGCCCTCCGTGGGAGGTCAGAAAGGAGACCCGGCCATTTAGCCTCACGGCCACAGGGAAGAGGGTCCCCACCTACTGGGGCCAGGCCTGCAGGTGTGTAAGGTGGACAGAGGCGGTGAGGCTAGGCTGTCGGGGGGAGAGGAGCAGGGAACTCCCCAGCGGTCATCCTTCCACAGGCGCCATTCGGGGCACCACACAGGAGGGACAAGGCCGATGGTTCGGGGCCTCCTGGGGGCTTTTGGCCCCTGTGTGATGCACAGGCCAACTCCGCGTGCAGACACCGGGTACTTACTGAGACCTGCTACGAGTCAGGCACTGTTCTAGGTTCTGGGGAGACAGCAGGGAACCACAGAGACAAAACGCCAACAGTAAAACCATATAGTGGATGAGGAGGTGAGAAGTGCTGGGGAGAAAACTTCAGGACCGAAGGGTGGCAGGGAGGGCCAGAGACTTGGGAAAGACCCGGTGAGACCTCGGAACAGGGGGACAGATGTGCGAGTGACCCCGGAAGATGTCTGGGGAGGAGCAGGCAAGGCCCAGGGACCGGCACAGCAACCAGGAAGGTGGCAGCGTGCACGCTCACCACCTGCTTGGCCCTGTGCCCTGCGTGTCACCTGAATCCCTTGCCTCAATCCTGTGGGGGGAGATGGAATTGTGATTCTTACTTTGCAAAGAACAGAGCAAGCTCAGAAGGAAAAGGGATGAGCCAGGCAGCCCCTCGGCCCCTGAGCTCTCCCACCGCCGCTCCCACGATACAACATCTGGGGGTCGATGACACTGGGCGGGGCTGCGGTCAGGTCCGGCACAGAAGAGGACCAAGTGCTGGGCAACCCCTCTGAGCCTGGCCTGGCAGGGCTGTTACGCAGTCAGACCAAGCCTCCACCAAATGCTAGCTCCCAGAACCCCCCAGGGAAGGCTGCCTCCTGCCCAGGTCAGGGGCTCTGGGCATTGCCCACCCCCTCTCCCTCCCAGAGCCAGTCAGGGACCCCCCGTCCATAGGGTCACACTCAATCAGGACTCACAGATTTGGGATGTGCAGAGCCCACCACACTGTCTCCCTCAGCCTCTCCAAGTGTCTGTGAGAAGTCCTTTCACAATGATTCTCTGCTCAGCCCCAGGGGACACTGACGGATGGCAGGCTGGGGTGGGGGCAGTGTTTAAGTCAGCAGGCACCTTCTGGAAAGGGTCCCTTTGTGCTGGCCTGGCACCAGGTGTGAGGGGGCCTTGACCTCAAGAACCTCCTCCGCTCACCTTGCCCACCGCATCCCTGCACCCAACCACCCAACCCTCGGGGCCACCGTCTGTGGAGGGCCTGGAGGGTGTGCATGCGGCAGCTGCGGTGTCAGGCACCTCAGTTTCTCTGAGCTCAGGAGAACCTCAGCAGGCCGTGGGGCTCAGGGATGGGAAGTAAGCCGCCCCAGGTCACACTGCAGGTTGGCCGCAGACCCCAAGTCAATGGGACTCAAAGGCCAGGTCCTTTCCCACTGCATCACTTCCTCTCTGTGGCCAGGCTGCCCCTGCCTCTGCTCGCTGAGGGGTGGAGACACAGGTGCCATGCTGTGGAGCCCCCTCCCTGCAGGGAGGCCCTGCCTCCTGGGCAGACCCGGGCCTGAATGCTTGGGTCTGGGCCGCCTCCTACGGAGAATATGAGCTCCTTGGACCTGGGCTCCAGGGCTGCCCACAACCAGGTGGCCTGAGGACACAAAAGAACCTGTGACCCTGAACAAGCCCAGCCCCTCTGACAGCCTGGATGCCTCAACCACACAGCCGGGGCCCAAACGTCCCACTCCCTCCTCTGTGTTCTCAGAGAGCCTGGACCGGGCAGCTCCCAGGCCCAGCAGGAGGGCATCCCTTCCGGGAGCCTTGGGCTGCCCACCCACTCGGACCTGCTCCCCAGGGGTCCATGCCAACCCTCAATAACTGCCTCAAACGTGACCACCCTGTGACCATGGCCAGCCCCAGAAGTCTTCCATTTGCTTGGAGTTTTATGTTTAAGATAACAGCTTCTGATTCTCAGTCCTCACAACCGGCTGGAAGAAAGGCATCAATTAGCCTGACCCCATTCTACAGATGAGGAAACTGAGGCACATTGAGGATAAGTGACCTGCCTGAGATGGGGACATCAGTAAGAAGCCAAGTGCAGCCTCTCCTGTCTCGCTCCACAGCATCAAGCGCCAATTCCGGGCACCATGGGGGCGTAAAGACTGGTCTTCCGTCACTTCCCTCGGTCAAACTGTCTCCTGGACAATGTTGCGGCCCCCACTCCCCGGCTGGGGGCAGTGGGCCTGAGGGTGGCCGGCAGCCGTTTAGGGGTTGGTCAGCTCTGCTGTGAGGCAGAGGCGGCCTCTGGGTTCCAGGGCCCCACGCCAAGCTCGCTGGAGCTGACAGCAGTGACAGCATCACGCTCCCCCAGCACTTGGAAGGCTCCCAGATCCTCGGCTGGAGAACGTGATGCCACGCCATTTCTCATTAAATGGCACCAGGTGGCGAAGAAAACGTGGCACAGGGACCAGAGAGAGAGAGAGAGAGAGAGAGAGAGAGAGAGAGTGCCTCATGCTGGCTGGGGGTGGGGGTGGGTGTATGGGGAGGACCCCACCTGTCTCCAGGCAAAATGACAAGCCCAGAAGAGGCAGGCAGACTGTGCCCACACCGCTGCACTCTCCTGTCCTGCTTGGACACCATGCTCCATCCCCCAAAGGCCTCTCTTCCCC